ACCATTTTAATGTAGAACTTCATTTTATGATAATCATCACCTGATTTAGTTACACCGAAATTATTCACTCTTTTCTTGCGTTTTTTTAAAAGAAAATACTGTATAATGGTATTTTATTTATTTTTTTTTTTTTATCCGTATTTTTAGTTAGTTTAAATATTAACTTGCTTTGATTGTAGTCTGAGGTTGAAGAAAACGACAAACGTCTTACATCAGACAAAACAGTATTGATCGTTAATGAAGATGGAAAATTATAAATTAATTTTAAAACTTAGTTGAATAAAAAAAATGGATGATACTGTGAGATTTTAAAAATGGGCATTGTTTGTTCTTTTATTTAAGAATAATTATATATTTATATTTGCTTAATTAGAACGACTTACTTTTCTTGCATGTTAGAACTAAGAAACATGAAATTGTAATTGCATCAGGTAAAGAAATATACATTCTAAATTTATAATTGTATACAACTTTTAAGATTTTATTTTTTGGTAAAATCAATATATGCCTCATTCTAAGCTTACTCGAATTACTAAGTGGATCGTAGATAAGGATAGGCACATTTATTTTTGTGATTTAAAACTTGCATCAAGTTTATAAAAAAGCTTTTTTCAAGAAAATTCGGTGACTTTTTCCCGCCAAAAAAAATTGATCGGCACATAAATATACTATAATAATTGATTATGGTAAAAAAAAAAAATTTAGTGATTTTATTAGTGTAACCGGATTTCTGGGCCTTTGAGCGACAAAAAAATTTTCTTTTTCTCAAAAATCTCCTTTTTAGGCGATTCGTGTAATACCAACGACCGGCCATTATTATGTATCTTGATATTACCTTATACTTACACTAATACTAACACTAACACTAACACGAACACTAAAAGGTAGAGAATAAGGTAGAGGTAAAGTTAGAGGAGGAATCTAACTTTGTTTAAATATTTTTTTTAAAAAAAAGATTTGGATCTGTCGCGGCGGCACATATTGTCTATTCCTCTGTCGACTCAAGGTCAACTTACAGGTCTATTTATATAAATTTGTTAACTAGTACTATAATACGCTTTTTGATAAGTACAAACGATACATATAATGAAAACTAAATAATATAATATAAGTAATAAAAAGAAGATTATATAATATTTATAAAAAAATGTAAACTATTTGATACATAAATTATAAAGGATACATGTATTACATGTTTAACATGCATCACTTTTATGATTTTCGGTGTAGTTGAAGATAACGAAAAAAAATCACCCGAAAAAACAATCTATAATAAATATTAATGATATCTATTTTCTAATTCCCATTTTGATAAATTCCAATTATTAAAATTTCTTTCATCTTATAATTCATAAAACTAATTAAGCCCGCCATCTATTTAAATTTTCAACCCATTTGTCATCATATTTTCTGAAAATAATATGCATATATGCATCAAAAAATTATCACTTCTCCGGACCTGTTTCATCGTAAATAATTACCACACGTCCGTCTCGAAAATCACTTTTCCAAGAAAACTTTCACTCACCAGGGTCAATATTACAATAAATTATAGATATAATACATGATAAATTATAAAATAAATTTAGTTGTCCTTTATCGGAACGATGTATTCCTTACTAACCTCCACCATCTGACTATCTCCGTCATTGTAACGAGCACTCATATATACGCTTGTGAAATCTTGGTTATGCCAAATTATTACTGCATTCAACCCTTAATCCCGCTGTTCTTTACTTGGCCAGTGATGGTTTGGTTCGTCTCCACATGTAAAGTGGACGATCCAAACATCAAGAATATTAAGACTTTGTTTAAGTGATTGAGCATATTTGAGAGTTCGTTCAAAATGTTCTTCCAAATATTTTCTAGTTGAAGTGGCAAGGAGCTCAAGGATTGATGTTGGTTGGCCAGGCCAATTGGAAGTCAACCACAATCCGGTCACACAAGTCAATGAGCTGCCTTATCATAAGGGAGTTCTATATACTATACTCCAAATCCGTTTCTACCACCTCTTTCTTCACAATCTTCTATGACGTTTCCTTTTAATAATACCTTTACCACTACTGGTGCTGTTATCACAAAGTCGCTATAACGGTGGGTTTTCCTTTCTGTTATGTGGTATTGGCTCATAACTTCGAATCCTAGTGATGAAATCCAATTTGTAAAAATGTCAGCAAGCTGCCGTTGGTATACGCTCTTTCGAGGAACCAATACGTTAGTAGATCCAATAGCAGGTACCTGTGCTTTCTTATGTGAGCGAAATGCTGCCAATCTGAAATTTTGTTTTTCGAAGGTACAAACTGCATCTCTTAAAGCACTAAGCAAGTCTATGCTTTGATCAGGACGCTTTGGTATTTCATTGGGTGGGCAGTACTTGAATATATCAGGTAGGACGTAACGTAATATGGGTAGATTGCTAGGAAAATCAGGTTCCGGGAATTTTTTTAGCAAAATTGAGATTTTTATTGCATTTTATTTTTTGATGTAATTAGATTAAAATGTATTAAGCTCTTAATTTTAGTCAAAAATTTCTCGGAACCTGATTTTCCTAGAAACACTCCCATATAACAGAGCGTAAGAGAGGTGAGGACATCTTGAATTGTCATTTTGATTGTCTACAGTGATCAAAACCCCATTTCTAGCGAGATGACAGGCCTGAATTAGATCCGATGAATTTCTGATAGTTACGGGTTCGGGATTTGGGAGAAATTGTAATCGCAAGAGGTCCACTGCGGGTCTTGAATTCTCCTTGAGAAGATCTTTTACTATCCTTTCGAAAGTGCTATACCCATAAATGTTCTTATTCAACGATTTAAAAACAAAGCCTTTCCAAGATACGAAGCTGAAATTACCATCATCGTCTAGTATTCTCATTTTTTCTATCAAAATTCCGCAAAGGCAAACCATGCTAGCGTGTCTGTTAAAAGTGCATTGCTAAGAAAAATTTAATGATATTTATAGTCTAGATATCTTCAATAATATCTGGACAAACTTTAAACTTATGTTCCAATTCGAACTTTTCGAAAAGCTTTTGCACTTGCTCTTTAGATAAATTAGGGTTCTGGAGAGGGTTTCGGACATTGAATGGTGAATCGTAGTCATTGCTTGAGTTAAGCTCAAGAATTCCAGAAGTTCCAACAACGACTACTGAAAGTATAGATTCGCGGCCATAGCGTGCTTGATGGTGCGAAAGCAACCAAGGAATTCGTCACGAACTTTATCAATTGCACCATACAATCTATCAAACTCATCTACGAAGATGACGACGGAGTTCCATTCGTTAAATGCTGCGGCAAACTAACTTCCAGACTTTATAGATGGCCGATTAAATAAAGAAACATTAAGAATTTGATTTCTTCCTAAATCAGACCGGAAATTTCGACGTCTTGTAAAGTAATGCTAAAGGAAAAATTAGGAGAGACAATGATTTTAACGTATAGTTTTAGGTTGTCTGTGTGCTTTATTGAAAAAGAAACATATTTACTAGAAGCAATGGCAATTATGTCGTTCTGTTAAATGCTGCATGGTACGATATACTCGTGTTGACTTTCCGGACGCCCGTGGACCGTGGAGTGCCACAAATTCACCTTTTAAGATTCCATTCACCAATTCAAAGTTGGTTTCCGCTGGGTCTGCATAGTAGAATTTAGCTCTTTGATCTGGACTGATCACTCCGCTAGTTGTCCAACTTCTAAACTAGGATATGGAACTATTAAAGTATTGTGAAAGTGAATACTGTTTGGCCTTGATTAATAAAATTTTATACTGCACGTTCTTACATTTTTTTTTGATTTTTAAGTGGACTTTCTTTCTCTCTCTGAATCTATGTTAATAACAAAATTAAGAATTGGCTCATTAACAAATATAACACGTATAAATATAAAATGAATCGAGTTGAACAAATGTCATACCAAAATTTTCTTTATCTTCTTGTTTTCGTTTTTTAATACTCTATATAGTATTAAACGCTTAGTTTAGTAAATTACAATTACGCAAAATTTCATAATGTATTATTACTTACCTTTCTGTGTTCTTCGAGCGCCTCTTGCCAATAAGACTTCAACCTATCATTTTTACGTTCTGATTCCACCTATTGTGAGAAAAATAACGTTAACATTTACTTGAGTTTTTTTTATTAATAATAAGGGAAGGATTCATAGTCCGTTATTAACAAGACTAACTTATTTGAATACTTGGATTAAATACCAAGTTGTTAAATCTTGTAATTTTCTTAAGTCAAAGACGCAGTCTGACCTCACTATACAATATATATATATATGTAAAAAGCACCTTATTTTTCAACGAGATAAAATTTTTTTGTTCCAAATGTGACTCTGCTTCCTTTAGAGCCCACTTGTTATCGAGACTATCACATGTGTCTGCAGAAGATATTGAAGCGACGATGATATCACGGTTGGCATCCAAGAATCCATGATATGAGTTTCGCTCCTTTAAATAAGAAATAATTGCTAGAAGATCGAAAAGTTGGTTAATATTTAAATATAACTAGTAGAATACATCCACACAAGACTTACACTCTTGGCCATAATAGTACTCTAAAGTGCTCATGATGTATAGTTTATTTATTTCGCAAAAAAAAAAAAAATTTATTGGAAAAGTTTAACGCGACGTAGATTAGTTTTTAAGAACCCTTTATAAGTTTAAAGCTTAATACCAGATCAAGATCAGTTTACAAGCCAATCAAATCTGACCTGGTACAATTGTTGCCGATCAATATTATTATTTTTTTCTTTAAAAACAAAATGCAAATTTAATCTAAAAGGAGAATTATAATAAAATGTGAAGTTTGGCATATTTTAATGAGCTTATTGACATACAAAATTATATTATAGTATTTTAGATTTATATAGTAAAGTACAATAATTTTTTTTGCAATAAAAAATTGTTATATACAGTATATTACTATTTTTGGTATAAAAATAATTATTAAATTTTACATTTTCCAAATGGCAAAATAACTAATATTTTAAATTTTACTTATTTCTAAAAATGAAAATATGATATTATTTAAAATACAATGATTGCAACCTAATACCTTTTTTATTACCTCTTTTAGCGAATAATAGAAAATCTCTAAACGCATGATAAAAGAAAAAAATATTTTGTTTTTAACAAATAAAATATATACTTAAACCTTATCATCAGGCTTCAGAAATTTTTGACCTTTAATTTTCACATGTCAAGTTCTATAAGACACTTATAAGTTAATTTTTTTATTTTTTAAAAATTTGAAAAATTCAAATTTTCTCTGTTAAATCGACTTTTATTTAATTCTCAGTTTAGTTTTATTATAAATTTCATTTTTTATAGAGAAGGATAAGAAAAATAGAATTATGTCATCACTGATTTTTTATATATGAAATTCAACTGGCCTACAGTTTTTACTAATGTTCACATTCAAACTTTAAATTGTTTTACACATGAATTCGAGAAATTAATGCTAGCAATCCTAATTATTGTCACTAAGCTTTATCAAAGATTAATGTTTACTTTTGTCTCACATTAAGAGTAAAAAGCTTGCCTTATAAAAAAAGAATATCCAGAATTTAACAGATAAATGTATTAAAATAATAATGTACAAATTCTGAATATTTCTATTGTCCAGAATATGTTTTAAATCTTAGTGGTTTTCAGATATTCATTTTGTCTAAAAAATGTCATTGTCTGAAATTTCAATATTCAATTTCTTTAAAATGCAAAATTGGATATTTTTTGAACATTTTTCAGATAATTTCTGAATATAATCCTGTTTTTCAGACATTTTCCAGACATAATTATATTTTTCTGAACATATTCCCATTTTTTGAATGTTTTTTTAGACATTTTCACTATTCATAATATCAAATTTATAACTTAATAATTTATAATATTTAATTTAAAATTATTTTAATTTAAGAATTTTATCATTTTTCGCAAATATAATATGATGCTAATCCCTTATATTCACATTGTCACAATAGTTACGTAACTTCAAATAAAATCTCAAAAGGGGTAAATAAAACTAAGACAATTACTTAAAAAATTACAGTTGAGGATTTACAATAACGTTGAAGAATTATTCTCAATATAAATTACGTGAGATAAATACAAAATAAACACAAAGATAACTCAAAGATATTTCACAGATTACGCTTCAGAGACTTCAAGTCAATACAGCAAATCAATACAATATCATATAATAAGTTCACTAACAAAATGGATTGTACAGATGCAAAGGATCACAGATAATTTATAATAGTTTCAAAAGGTTTATGAAGAATAAGTTTATACTTGATTAATTATACTTCTTTATTAATATAAAATATAAGTTCAATACTTAAAAGATTAATATCTCGTCAATGCTAGAACTTAAAGAAAATACAGATATTTATACATATTGAATAAATAATAAAATAAACTAAACTAAATACATCGAAGAAAAAAAGTTGCCATTTCGCAAGATAATAAAGTTGCTGTATCAATAAATTTGCCAGATTTGCAGGCAATTAAATGGACATCTATGATCTACGTAATTATCAAAGGCAATAAAATTGACATCTAAGGATTTGCATAATTGATCGATAGCAATAAAATAGACAAATTAATCTTCATAAAAGATCTACATAGCAATAAAATTGACTTCATATTCTACCAATTAAATCTATCTAAAATTTTACCTATTACAACGTGACTTATATGAAATACATGTAATATTTATATATATGCAATGTTTATATATATGATATATATATTACATATGTATTACACGTGTTATTTATATATATAATTCACGTGACATTATCTATTTAACTTTTTTTCACTTTTTTTTTACTGTGCCTTTGATTTTAATGCACGCTAACCTAAAATCCTTACATTCATTTTTTTATTTTAGTATTGTTAATTGTAGGTTATTTGGTACTATCATCTTTTTATTATTGTAATTTCACTTTTACAGCTGTTAACTATATCTGTTTGCTATCTCAAATTTATGAATTTATGCCTTTTTTTATTTTCAATGTGTTGCTAGTTGTTAGTTTACACTTTAATTATTGTTGACTTTGCTGCCGCATTTATATTTTGATATTGAATTTTTCTCTACTTTCCATTTGTATTGCTGGTTGTTAATTTGTTTTTAATTGTCTATTACTTTCAATTTATGTTTGTTAGTTATTAGTTATTAGTTATTAGTTATTACCTTCAATTTGTATATATTGCTAGCTTCCTTTATTATTGTGAGTTGTTTACTACTTCAAATTTATATTTGTTATTAGTTATTAGTTCTCATTTTATTATCATTTACTATATGCTAGCACTAGTTGAAATAGTTCAAATCAACTAAAAATCAGATAGCCGATTAAAAGCTGATTTTGATACTATTTACGTCTGATTTGCCATGTTTTTCAATCAGCACAAACAGATACTGATAGATGCTGATTGACCCCAATTGGACATGACCATTCAGAACTTAAATTCAACCATAAATCAGTCTAAAACTAGCCTCAATTTGGCAACAATTCAGACACTGATAGACGCTGATCGACCCCAATTAGACATGGCTATTCAGAATTTAAATAACTATAAATCAGCCTAAAATTGGCCACAATTTAACAACAATTTAGACGCTGATTGATTCCAATTGGACAAGCAATCAGACAAGTAATTCAGCATCAATAATTGATACATTTTATTTATTAAATTTATTAAATATTAAAATTTTATTAATAATAAAAACCTAATATAAATTTGCAAAAATATAACAAAATATCACTAAAATCTACTGATTAATTTCCTATTAAAAATAGAATAATAAAATAATAAAATATGATTCATTTCCTCCTAAAATCCTTTTAAATTATCCTAATATAGATAAATAAATAATAAATAATAAAAATATAATCTATTCCTTCTGAAATCGACTAAAATATGTAAAAATAATAAATATAAAATGTAAAAAATAGAAAAATCAACCCAAAATCACTTCTAAAAATGTAGATAATTATTAAAATCAACCCATTTCCACCTCAAATCACCCAAAAAAACGTAAATAATAATTATTAAAATTGACCCATTCCCACTCGAAAAAAACGTAAAGATAATTATTAAAATTAACCTGTTTCCACTCAATTCACCCGAAAAAAATGTAAAGATAATAATAAAAATTGATCTGTTTCCACCTCAAATCACCTGAAAAAAATGTAAAGATAATAATAAAAAATAAACCCATTTCAACCCCAAATCACCTGAAAAATAACGTAAAAATAATAATAAAAAATTGACCCGTTTCCATCCTAAATCGCCCAAAAATTCATCATTCATCATCATCAATTACGGGATCATCTTCACTTTCTTTAGCAATGGATGAAACCCCCTTCTGACTTCAGTATATTCCTCAGTTTCTGTTACATATTCTTCTGCAGTTGTAACTCCTGCTTCGATCTTAGTATTATAGACTACACCAGATTGTGTTTTATATGATCACTTTGGAGCATTATAGGGATGTAGTCAGTTATAATGCTGCACATCATCATTATATTTTCTCTTTCGTTGAATTTAAGATTATGACATTACAGTAGCATAAGAATCAAGTACTTTTCTCAGTAAATTTTTTAGCTAAAAGAATAAAATAATTAGTAGAATATACTAAATAAATTCAAAATATACTAAATTAGATAAAGAAAATAATAAACTTCAGCCGATCACTAAGAATAGTCATATACAGTAATAACGGATCTTTGACGATTTTCTTCATCTGTTTCGCTGATTTCTGATGAATGATATAAGCAATCATTAAGAATTCGGAGTAAAGGTTGCCTTTCGTATTTTACAATTCGTTGGTCATTTTCTTTAAACAAATACTTTGCTATCTTTACTTGTCAAGCTGTTTTCTAATAAATAATAAATGATATTAAATTATTGATTCAAATAGACTCAAATTCAGAATATATACTATTTGCTTACTTCATGTACTTGATTATTATTATAAATTTGTCGCAGCTCTGAAGGGCTTTTTTTACTTTTCTTAATTCTTCAAGCTATCTGACATGACTTATGAAAAGTTTTCAGCCAGTTCGTAAATTAATCAACAAAAGGTTGAAAATTCAGAGCCAAAGACTTTCATAATTCAGAAATCAGACTACAATGTAATGCGGCATTTTTCTCACTATTGAAAGGTTCGTCATAGTCTAAATTGTTCTTTGAGTTAATAATTTTCAAAACTGCCTTTATTTCAGTCTAAATACAAAAAGTAGGAAAAAAATCAGCTAAAAATTTAAATTATTTAGACATAAATTCAAACATACTTTGGCTTTTTTTATATTAGCCTCTTTTGTTATCGAATTATCATTATTTTCAAAATTATTTTGTGTTGATTTTTCCAATTCATCATTAGTACAATACACTGGATTTTTCCCTTTGATTTTGACGATGATTTTTTGATTTTTTTTCGTTTTACAGGAGAACCAGCATTGGACTGCTTCAATGATCTTAACAGTCATAATCTCTCAAATCGATCAAGTCTTAAATATTAAAAAAGAAAAATTAATTATTGTAAATATAAGATATTAATATACAAATTTTTACCTCTCCTGTAAA